TGGTGAATATGTGATCTGTTCTCACATTAGACATGGTTGGTGAGGCCTGAGCGAAGTACTCGGTTTGGCTTTTTATTGATTCTTTCAACGCATCGGAGTATTCTGCAACAGCTGGAAAGAAAACCGTTACCTGTATTTATTTTCATAAACCCTACATGTCTGAACTTTTTCAATGCTCGACGAAGAGTCATTGACCTACCTGACTTGGAACGCGATTGGTTATCACGCTAGCTGAGTTTTCCTTTAATAAGGCTTTCCGAAAAGTTTAAGTTAATTTTGAGTCCCTTCGCAGTTAATTGACATCAAATTCTGACCGAGAAATTAGAAAAGCCTAGCAAGGAGTTGGTGTAAATGTTAAATTACTTCATTTTTAATAATATACATGCAAACATTTCGGAACGCTCATTGGCTGAGAACAAGTCAATTAACTCCAAACAGTGCACAAAGTTAAGATTGAGGACAAAAAGTTTAAATTGACTGTAGATAGATGAAAGTAATTTGATTGCTTGGAGAGTCACGAAAGTGTAACAAAACAAAGTGGCGAAGAGGCTGCGAGAAGGTAATAACCTTTTTAGTTCAGTTTTTGATGGAGAATGCCAAATATAAAAATACAAAACAAAGCAAAAACGACTGGCCAAAAGTTTGGAAGTTTTGGGCATTGAAAAATATGAATCGGAGGCGCTAAACAAACTTCTCGAGGCATTTTACGCAATAGTTTGTAAGAAAGACGGGGAGGATAACGAGCGTGATGTCTTAGGTGTACTGATTATTGCTGTCGACCGATACCTAATAAACAAAGAGTACAAAAACCCGATTGTTCGTGACGGTGAGTTTAAAAGCTCGAACCAAATTCATGGGGAAAAGCGCGACTACTTCAGCACAAGGCAAAGGCAAGCGGCCGAACCAGTGAGCCATGACACGAAAAAAAAAAACTAAAGAGGAGAACAGAGTCATATTTCTGCTAGTATATTATTAACAAGTAATCGCATGATTTCCCCCCGTGCAATTCGGTATAAATCAGCATTTGTGAATTTTCCAAAAACTGCAAACTGCACTCGCCCTACAGGTTCGCGTAATTTGTTCGCATTTCAAATATTTACTCGTGCTGTTTTATCCTAAATTGTACTCGAAACCATGTGATTACCAATTTGCGGCATGGGAGGAACTAATTTTGACTCAGAAAACACATATTTGTTTTGTGTTTACGCGAGAGATTAAGTAAGGCCTAAGTACACTTAGGGGAGAGAATGCGTCCTTTCGTCTCCAGTTCATTTAAAATTTTAGCTTTTTTCCGTCTCTTTCTTTCAACGAACTCGACCAGGTAAATACTGTAAGACTTACGGCAGTTTTTTGGTGCAAATAATCTTTGTAGGGAACCTATTTCAGCTATGAATTCTCTTTATTTTTCGCATGAGGAACAAAAACAAAAATAAAAAATAACTCTTTCATCGCCCGAAAAAGCATGGAAAAGACAACACCTGGTCTTTTTCAAATTTTGGGTCGACAGGAAAGGGTCAGTTCCAGTGGAAGATATTTCTCCGAGTTTGAGCTATTTTTAAAGGTAGGCATTTCATATGGTACTAAAATGAATTGATTGTTAAATTGCTTAATACCCTGTGATGAGAGGCCCTTCAATCTTCCTCTTCAAGTTTCTCTTCTCAAGAATGATCAAAAGGCCGTTGCACAGACTTTACCGCTAAGACACAATACCTTTGTCTCCTGCTCTCTTTTTAGGATTAACGATCGCTTCCTTTAATTTATCCAGGCTTTTACCAATTTCATCCAGTCTTTCTTTGATGCTGACTTCATCTACTACCCACTGTTTAAGAAGCTCTTTGAAGTGTTCTTCGATATCAGGGTCCATGCATTCCTTTTTCAGATCATTAATAGCACTTTGGTAACCAGCTCCTCCCAGTCTCACCAATGCATCTTGGATGTCCTGCCAGTATTGATTGAATGTTACGTCATCAACTGAGGCCTCGCTGGCATGACCATAAACTGTGTTTCTGTAGCACTTGATACGAGCGAAATCTGCCTCAAGGGTTGTGTCTGTAGCGAGAGGAAGTGTATCCCAGCCGGTAACCGGAGGAGCAAGACCACAAATGTTCCTTAGCAGGACCATCAGTATAGTGATATCGAAATTTCTTGAAGAAACTGGAGACTTGATGGCGGGGTACAGTTTGTCCCATTGTGAAGGGTTGAGTACTTTTTTAATTCGGAGTAATTTTAGCAATCGATAAATCGAAGGACAAGACAAAACTGTATCCAGGTTTCCTGGCGGACGCCTTTTGTCAAATGTCTCTCTCAAGATATGGGCACTGACACCCACCAGAAGCCTGCATAAGCGGGCGTAGTTGGTTGTCTCTTTTGTCGAATGGAACGAAGGTGCTGCAGCGGTGGCCATGAAGAAATACTGGATCGTTAATTCAGCAAAGGTCAATGACTCTTTAATCAAGAAATTTGGTTGCTGCTTGTTCGTTAGTCTCCCTGAATCAGCACTGGTAGAATGAATAAGATATCCGATTTCAAAACCAACTGACCCAGACAAAATTTTTAGTAAGTTTGATGTTCGATTTTAATATCTCAACTTTTTATCTACACTTCCAAAAATGTTCGTTACATCTCGATGCTAGCAAGGGTATTACATTAAATTAGTTTTAAATACCTCTGGAACACTGATTGTTCTTTGAAATTGCTTCCAACTGCTTCTCAAATCTACTTTTGCGTGACATTAAAAAAGCGTGACATATGGCTGTGATCGTGAAGATATATATTACGTAGTGTGAAAATCAAATGAGCCTTTTCTTACAGAGATCCGAGTAAAACTTCTCCCTTCTAGCCGGTCAGACACTTTCCATGCATACAAATTAGGGGAATTTTGGGCAGCATTCCGGGCCTTTTGGCTGATAGCCTCCTAATTCCAATCACCAGCGTGTTTTACAATGTATTCAAATATTGAAATAATGTAATGAGAAGTTAAAGGTTGATCGCATCCGGGAAAAAAAGAATTTCTTTGGATTCAGAATCCCACCAAAACAATCTATATGATCATGAAGAAATGTAAAATGGTTTCCGTGTTTACATAGCCTGATGTAAATACGCGGGAGGTTGGGAGAACACGAGATAAGCGTAGGAAACCACGACGTGAAGCGGAGTGGTTTCCAGCTTATCGTTTTCAGCTTATCACGATCAACGGTAAGTTCTATGTCCTCACGACAACTCTCCTTTTACATTCAGGAAATAAATTGTTTACACTCCTATAATATAACTTATTCCACAATTCGATTGCCATCTATTATGTGGGTAGAGACTCGCGAGAACGACGTGGCAGCAGATAAACAAATTATCGAAGCACAATTCACACGAAGCTAAGAATGAGACTCGTTAACTTGACATAAGCTAAAAATACCTCAGCGATTTTTTCACAAACATTAAATACCGAATTGGTTAGCACTCCTGCGTGATCTGAATCTTAATGCTATGTTAGTTTCTGATCGAGTCGTGCTTATAAGCGATCTGTCGCGTATTAGCTGGGACTTTGTCAAGACTTAGATTTTAGTCGTTGCACAACTACATGACCCGATTTTAGTCGAATGATTTAGACAAACTCGGTAAAATTTAACCGATCGTTCGACTGTATGAGCGATTTCCTTCACCCTTAAGAACGTATTTTTGAAGTTTCATGCTTAATTTAGCCTGTAAGCAGCCGACCCCTACCTTCCGAAAGAAAATTGGGAGGGCAAAACGCTTGCTAGCGCAGCGTAGATTCACTTGAGGTCGTATTAATGTGATTAATACAAGATGTAATCAACAGAAAGAACGTGCTTAAACTGAAACTCAACTCAATATGTATGGAATAAAATCCACAAACTCTTACCTCCAAAGGTTGACTTGGAGCTCTCACTCGGAGGCCCACTTGCAATTCTTTTGCGGTCATGTAAGCTGATCGATTTCAGCTGGTAATCAGCTCCCTGCAACATGCGTTAATTTAGCTCAGTCAGACTGCGATGTCTCAGCAATCATCAGAATAGAAAGAAATTGAGATAAAGGTTTTTTCATTTGTGGCCTAAAATGAAATCTCATATTCAAGCGGATTTCATTGCCAAATGACGCAGACAATTTCAAGGAGGGAGTTCGGTTAGCTCACACTTTCAGTTTCGAAACACTAACCTTTTACTCTGCGCTATCATTAGTTTCCGTCACATCTAAACGCTTTTGTGGAGATTGTCACAGAGTACTGGCTCCGCTTGCAGTAGTTTTTTCGTGAGATTTTGCTTCTGATGGTTTTCAAACGCTTAGATCGCGTGATTTGTCGGATAGCGTGGCCTAGCAAGACTAGAACTACAGTAACCATGGATACCTTTGACGTAAGATTACGTAACTGCAGAAAGCGGAAGACCGCACGAGGCGGATGTGTGGAGCGAGGTAGCGCGAAGAAAGCAGTTTGAAGAAGCAAGCCGCTCCTTTCCTCGCGCCCCCTCGCGTTTGCTTTCACTCGCCTGGAAAAACGCCAAAAAAAGATGGCGTTTTTTGTTGTTGTTGAAAGATTATTTACTTCAAATGAAAGGAACCACGGGTGTGAAAAAAGGAGAAATAAAGGAATTATTTCGCAATGTTCTCACGAGACCTCATAATCTTGTATCATGTAAAGCCGATGGTCACGCTCAAGGTAAACCAGATCATTTTTTTTTTTTTTTTCATGCCATATGGTGAAGAAAATTCATTTCCAAATTAAATTTTACAGGTTTCCTGTCTGGGCAATGCAGTGGATGGGGGAACTAGAGCAGTTTAGTACATCCTTAAGATGGAGTACGGGTTCCACTAATTTAGTGGATTGGCACCGATAACGAGACTCGACATAGCCAGACACTAGAATTAGTCCAGTCCAAACTATTCAAAGGACTTGATAATCTTAAAATGCTCTATTGTAAAGCATGTTCTAGATTGTGAGTACAGCTTGTGATCATGCGCATAATCCAATAAATTCACACATTTCCAAATCTCAGAAACGATGACTGCTTTATTTGGTTCCACAAAACATCTCTGTCACACCCTTTCATTCACTGTATAGAGCACCACACCAGTAGATGAACGTCTGAAATATCTTCATTGGTTTCAGCACGCGCTGTTTCGCTGTATCAGAAATTATTTTTCACTTAAATATGGTGTAGAGAAGTAGAGATGTATTTTCAACGGTGTCGTTAACAATTCCGCTGGCGATAAAATAGAAACGTTCTTAGCGGAATTTCTCAAAAAGCCAAAATATGTTCAGCGGAGCCGAACTAGACAATTATCTGAATTCTGTGCCTTGTTGTCTGTCCTGCAGCTTCATCTTGACTTTTAGCAATAATGATTTCCAACAAACTTTTAATCACTTTTCTCAGTGTTGAGGCAAGCCACACATGTCACAGTTCTCGTGTCCGTGTTGGTTCATAAACGTACAGTGCTTGCACGACCAGCCTGCACCACTTGGGGAATGGGACATATCAACCATGTCCACGTCCCCTGATCCTCGTGGCTCTGGCGAGGGGGCTGGGTAGGAAATATTTTAACCGTAAGCAAAGATGCCTGATATGATATCTTAATTTGTAAAGGGAAAATAAAATAACAATATGGAATTTACTTTAATCAAAACAAAACAAAAAAAAAGAATATACTGCAGGCGCTTGGTTCCAATTTTATTAACATTGTACTGTTAAAAAAATAGTTGTTGAACTAGTAAAAAAAACTTAACCAATCAATACCAGCGTATGGACCCTCTCTCTTGAGGTTGGGTGAATTCAATAAACAAAACTTAAAAAAAAAAACAAACAAAAAAAAAAGGGACAGAAAATAATGTTAAAGAAAAAAGATATTGAGGGAATCATTTTACCATTTGCAGCTTGCATAAGCTGTATCACTGTGCACCACTGTTCACTTTTACTCCAGCGCCGAGCCAATTCAGCATCTTTGTTTCTGATCGCCGTACACAGATCTCCTAGGTGATCCTGCCACAACATAAATTATCAACGAAAGTTAGACATGAAAACCTCAACATAAATTTATTACGAGAAAAAGTAATAGAATCGAGCCTGGCTGATTTTTCCCCCCGTTGTACGAGCTACAGATTGATTCAGGCTTTTTTACCCTTGAACCCCTGAGAGTGACTGGCATCTAATTTCTCCTTACCACATCACGCCTGAATCAAACATTAAGGTCAGGAGAATAAAGGAGCTGATCACCTACTTAAGAAGCTCTTGACTGTTGGACAAATTCTCCATGTCGGTATCTTAGGAAATGTTTACAGAACAGTATGGAGAATATGCATATTTATTTTAGGGTGTTAAGGGTTCAGCTGCATTGTGAGTGGTCAAAATCCTCTGATCAAGTTTACAGCCATATCCTCCTCCTGCTTAGAGCTTGCCATTGTGTTCATCACGCCAGTTCATACTGGCTTATCTTGTTGCCTCTGTATGTTCCACTTGCCTTTTGCAGTTGCTATGGTTCTGGGCCCAGTTGTTCGAAGGCCGATTAGGGCTAACCCACGGTTAAATTGCTATCTGTATCTCTATTGCTTAGTTTAAAAGCCTTTTTTGGGATAATTTTCTGTATTCTTTTCACAGCGTCAAATAGTCATATTCGAGACAAAAAGAAATTCGACTGAATTTTCTTTAAAAGCTTTCAGATCTTAAATCAGATTTCACACTAACTTTCGCCCTGGGTTTTTTCAGGACAGAATTAAAAGCTTCCCTTTACTGTTAATCGACTTGACGCCAAAACCAGATTTTAGCTACAAAACATCTCGTTGCAATTCATTAGCTGTGATCTCATCACAGGCTCGAAGCCAACACAAGAACATTACCTTTAAAGGAAGCATGTCGGAAGTTGCCAGAAAAACTAGGAGGTGAAAATTGGACATAGTAGGTAGGAACTCATCAGATGGGAACTGGTTTAAGTATCTCACTAACGCGTGAAAATCCTGCACACAAGGGAAAAGAAAAAAAACACAGAATTACACGAATTGCACTGAAGTACAGAGATAAGTACAATTTTTACCTCACATAGCAAACAACGGTTGAAAAATTCCCTTTATTATGAAACTAAACACCTCTGCAAGTATATAGTTAGAGCAAATAGGCCCACATTTTATAACGATGCCCCCAAGCAACTCAGATATGGCTCGTTGTGAGCTGTTCTTGTCCATTTTACCGCTATTTTTGAATGCACGCCTTCCATCACAATATCAATTAGATAGCAACGGTGGATAGCAATGGTTGGATACTTCGTGATGTAAACAGTCAAAATACTGTACTCTCATCACGTTTCCAGGTGCGGCTGCCGATGGTGTAACAGTCGGCTGTACCCGGAAAAGAGGCTTAAGGCGAAACTCATAGACAGGCTGAACAGACGGAAGAGGTCTGATATGTAGCGGTAGACCACCGGTGACCGGCTTTGATGGACACCTCTCCGTATCTCATCACCACTCAGCACTAAACAGTTAAAATGTCAGACCATATTCTCTGGGTTTATATAACTTCAACCACATGTGGGATACCTTTGCAGTATTAAAACTGCTCATAACGTTTTTACCTGAACTTCTCCCATACTTGAGCGGTTCTCTAGCGGAAAAGGTTCTCCCTGAGTTTGATTGGAGAAAGTAAACTGAGGTTCTACAGGAAAAGCAGTCGGCACCTGGAGGAAAACAAAACATAAATTAAAAAAAAGAGGACTTAACATACCAACAAAGACAAAACAACAAAATGGAACAAACATACAAACAAAGAGATCTAAACTATGAAACTAAGAAAAAGAAACATGCCACAGTATGTTCACTTACACGTTTAAGTGCTTCTTGTGTTAAGTAACTCATGTTATTCATCCAATAGTATGCCAAATAGAGGAAAACAATTCAAAAACAAAATTACACAAAAAAGGTGAAATGTACCCACCTGAACTAACAGATATTCTATAGGCATAGGGCGAGCTAAAAGAGTCACTTCATTACCGTACGAGTCAGCAGTCTGGAAATACAACACAAATAAATAAGCTAATAATATACATGGACAAATTACTCAGTTCTGATTGGTTAAGATAAATGCAGTTTCAGGTAACTCAGTGCAAAGAAAGTAACAAATCAGACAATCTGATTGGTCAATAATCAAAGAAACTCACAGATAGCCAATCAAATGCGAGCCTTAGATGTCGCAACAAAATTTGAAAATTTGCGAGCGAAACAATGGCCGGCGTTTTAAGTAGGTTTTCTTTCGCCACCGCAGCTGAAAAACAGCTCAAACAACGAAAACACTGTAAAAAGCACTGCTCTTTGGTTGTCGGTTTGGAAAAAGTGGTGTTTAGAGAAGGGAATTGCCAAGGAAATTGAAAATTACGAGCCGACCCAGCTTAACACTTTGCTCGAGCGATCCAACGCCAAAATTAAAAACAAACATGGCAAAACCTCGGAAACGACGATTCCATTTCATCGAAAGTGATTCGGACACAGACTGAACAATTCCTTGAACTGTTTAGCCGGACTTTGAACTTATTTGCGCCTTAAAGAGGTGAAGAAATCATTGCGTATTACTGTCTTGATCGTACGCGGTTGTTTTGAACGAACGCACGATTTGAATAAATTATTTTTGCACTTGGTGCGCGCGCTTTGCTCATACTTAATTATGATAAGCCATCTCGTATTTTTCTCGTGCAATTTGGAATAAACAAGCACTTGTTAATTTTTCAAAGAACACAAATTGCACTCGCCCAACGGGCTCGTGCAATTTTGTTAGTCTTTAAAAAATTTACTCGTGGTTATTTACTCAAAATTGCACTCGAAATCATGTGATTACCTATACAAACAGAAAAATAAACTGTCACGGACTAAGTTTTGTCGCAATGGAGCTCATGCTTGGTACCCACCTTATAGAAAACATCCGGGACATATTGATCGCTCGAAGATTCCCGGACGTAGCCGAGACCTGGTTCGTCTATAGTAGGTACCAGGCAGTCGTCACGAACTAACGCCATACACTGATTGGACACCTGAGGGGAGTACAAGGTGAAACATATATTGAGTAGATATGATTAAACTAGGACTCGTGGGGCCTGGTGCACGCTTCAGTGAAAAACATAAAAAAGGACGTACGAGGGCCATACGCAAAGGTGCCAACAAAGACCAGTAAACGGTGCACGGTCCAGTGTATGGCCCCCGGCAGGAGGCAGAATGGAAGAAGAAAGGTAGAAAGAGAAAGAAAGGGAAAGAAAGGATGGTCAAATGATAGAATGGTTTAATTATTCAAAATTATTCTGGCTACGAACTGCCGTTAAGTTTTTTTTTTTTTTGTTTCAAAATGTTGTTGTATTTTTCTACTTGTCCGTGATTCTCGTAAAATCGCTTTAGATATGATACGATTCGCTTACAAATAGTTGTGGCGGAATCCAATCGCATAGACTGCTTGCAGGCAAAACCGTTCTCAGTTTGTTAAATTAGCAGGAAATATGATAAAACAATCATACCTGAAAACCATCAAAACCAACTTGGTTATCCGTGTTACCTAAGAAAGTTAAGAAAAATATGTAGAAATACTTTTAAGTTATTCTTGTTGCTACTTACATGCACGTTACAGTGACTAATCTCAGATCTGATGATCCGCGGCGAGCTGAACTAAACTACGGGAACTGAAAATTTTTAGTAAAGAAAGCAATATTACTACATAGCGAATTATCAGGTGGCAAGAATGAAAACAAAACAAAAAATTGGCAAGAAAATAAAACACTGGACAATAGAGATAAGACAAAAAGAGAACCTCGAAGGATAACCCTAGGAACAAATACTCATTCTGTCTGACCCAAATATAATTTTGAAAATGGACTCTAACACATACCTGACACAACAACGGTGGAAAACTTTGAGCCAAACTTGCCATTTGAAGATAATTTACACGGTGATGGATGCTGATTTTGTAATTGACCGGCCAAGATGGATTCCTCAGCTGTAAGAAAGTGTGTGTTTATATCCCGTAGATGCTTCACTGTGCCTTTTCTTACATCCTCAGCGACGAGGTCTGTGAAGATCCAGCCCACTTTCTGAAGGCCGAGATCAGCAGCCAGCTTGTCAACTATGGCTTCGGAGGGGTCTGAAAGGAGCTTAATGCTGTCTGGAGTGCCTTCCTAGAAAGAAAAAAAAACGAAGAAAGAAACTAAACAACATGCATAGGCGGAACACGAGGTCAAACCGTGCCGTGTTCGTGGTCCCGTCATGTTCTGCATAAACAGGCTCCCAGGACCAAGTTCATGAACAAGAGGAAACCACGAGAATGAAACAGCTGAAATAACGGCTGTAAATATAAAATAAAGTTGACACAATTGTTGTGAAGAAGTTGACTTAATTGTTGTGGAGAAGAAGGCCATCTCAATGTTTTTTTTTCCCACACAGTACTTTGGCGGTATTTAGGTAAATTCGAAAACCCTTAATTTTACAGAGGACAACTGAGGGGACCACTGGTGGTTGTCACACAACTTAACAAAAATGCACCAAAGATCAATTAAGATGGTATTGCAAAGATCAATGTCTGTTTTCACACTTCACATGTACAGAGACTCCATCAACAATAATTCCTGACTATTATCAAAGAACTGCAACGTTCACGCCCCGTTGTATCATTCTGAAGGATTATTCCCGTGCTACTCAAACTTTTATCAAGGGAAGAGAGAACTAATGTTTAAAGGGGCCAGGAGTTATTGTGCCGAGTTTTACTATTCTTCACCATAAACGTTTGATTAATTACATCAAAAAACCATTTTTTTTCTTTGGCAATAACATTGCTGAAGAAAAATGCTAAAAGCAAAACGCGAAACTAGAAAAAGCCAAAAAGTATCCAATTGGCCTGAGAAAGATTTCCTTATATTTAATTCTCAACACCGTTTAGCACTCTCACGAATTTTAAACGCATAACTATGAAATCTGCGAGGTTTCTTAACCATTCTACTCTATTAACTATGGTTTGGCAGGTGAAATGGGTGGTGGTCTTTAGAAAAAGGAAGCAGATTACTAAAGATATTTTTACCTGTGGGGGTTCGTAAATGGCAGCTACTGAAGCTCGTATTCCAAGGGGTACATCCTTGTGGAGCTCATAACGGCCATACAGGAATCCCAGCCTCTAAAAACGGAAAAGAGGGAAGGAGGAAGGAGTTGTAACAGGCAATCTCTGGGACTGTTCAGTGTTCCGCCACAGAAATAATTTTGGAGGCAGAGACTTTCGTCATCCTTGGTTTTGCAACCGCTTTACATTTACTCTCGACAAATCTGTGAACGAGTATGGCACATCTCAATTTTCCTCACGGGGCTATTAGAATTTTTCTTTCGTATCACACTCGCTAGAATGAAACATTTCTAAACGCACCTAAGTGATCGTCATGTTTGTATGTTTGTTAGTCATATCGCTGGGCCAAAAGATGACAATCTACGGAGAGGACAAGATTCCCGTAGGTATGGGAGTGGGGAGCGGGATAGCACCAAAAATATGCACCTTCCCCACCCAAGCTGAAAGTAGTTTTGCCTTCCATACAGATTTACAACATTAAGATCTGAAGTGATTGCTTGCCTGATTTCCGGTCTTTCTCCAGTAGTTTAAAAATGGTTCCACGATAAAGGGATTTTCAAAAAGGATGTTGTCCACGTGTCTGTAAACCTGAAAAAAAGTAAAGAAAATAACATTGCTCTACAAATTACAACAAAGCTGCTTTGGTGCTGAGAGAAAGTCAAGATTTGTTCGTCAAGAAAAATGAAGGAAACTGGATCAGTCATCTGATGAAAGTGACCCTTGCTAGTGGACACAGGGTAAAAAATGGATGGGTAGCTGCCCTGGAAGTTCTGACTGTGAAGAGTAAGTTTTGAAGCTATCAAGGTTTTTGTCAAGCATGTGATATGTTAGGATCTCTGCTCCTGCAAATACCAATGGGAGCTTTCATTGTAGTCCATGACAGCCCATCAACAAACAGACTCACTTGTCTCTTTAGTGTAATAGCACCAGGCTGACACTTTGTACAAATTCCACCAGGCCAGGGTGGATGCTCTGTGCATCCTGGTTTGATCCTGCAGCTAGTATCCTCCAGTACTGTAAACTTGCCTCTGAAATACAGAACATCTCTTCTGATAAACTGATAGGAAGTATAACATCAAGGGTACATGACAAAACAGTCAGTCCAATCTCATGACCGGCCAACCTCTGCCCACACTCTTTAACCTAAGTTGTTTAAAGCTCACCTGTCTGTGCCTCCACCCATCTTTTTCAGGAATGCATGGAAAGACATATGCTTGATAGGAGGTTTGTGATTCTTTAAATACTCTTCATCATATGGCTGAAAAAAAAATGTAACAACAAGGCCCTGATGTTACTTTGTCTAATGAAGTGGTCAGAACTATTCAAACTATACTAGATGCTTGCTTGAGCCTAAATCATTCTTAATGTAAATTGGAATTGGTTTACATCTTTAACTCTAAAAGAATATTATTCAATAACATTTTTTAAGTGAACTTTGAGGCCATATAATGGAAAATAATATTCAGTAATCAAAGAAGCAAAGTTTTTTGTAAAGTTACAAAAAATATAGTTCTATTTTCTAGTTCACAAGAATGATTAAGCATGTAGCTGCTATACCCAGGGTGAAGCTTGTGTAAACCATTCAAGGTCCACCTTGATGGGGGAACTAAAATTTGAATATAAGGCTTCAAATACATGTAGCTTCTTGAACTGATGTCAGTAAGATTATGTAATCTAACCCTAACCTTGAAACACACTACCATACAAATGACAAATCACTGAAAAAGTCCACAAGAAAGTGCACTTCATGTGGCATGGTGAATATCTGAAAATATCTTTTACACTGGAACTGAACTTTTCACTATGATCACAGTGACAAGGATCTTCACAAAATGTTTCTATGTCACTCAACATGAATTTTGACTGTGACATGTTCTAGCAAAGTAGTAATTGCAGCAACTCGTTTTAAGGCAATAATCATGGAGCAAGTCTGTGCCAGAGACAAGTTGCAGCGACTTATCCCATAATTAGAATGTTTTAGCCTTAATAAATGCAAAATATAGATATTACTCTCCAGTGAAAAACAGAAAGTTCTGTACAATCATGTAGCCCCTCTTACCTCTAGTGGTACACAATGGATGCATTTGCTGTTGGGGTTATGATGACACCTGAACAATGTAGAAAAATGGAGACATTACATATTTATCCCTTGAATTTTTGGATCCAAGTTAACTTATTTCACTTAAAACAGTAATATCAAATAAATAATCAATACAGTGATGGGTGATCTGCAAAACCACATAATAAATATTTTAACCCAGTTTATAGCTTTCAAGTCCTAAATAATGAAATAATTCTTCCTGCAGAACCTTGTATAGCTGATAACTTGCACATTTATGATTATTGTGAAACTTTGCCATGGATAAAACCAATGTTATGAAATTATATCGTCATGATATGTTTGAACTTTTGAATAATTCTAGAAGCAAAATATGGGAAAAAAACTGAATTATCTCAAGTCTGTATTGTCAAGTACATGAATAGAATGAATGAGATGTTTGTGCAATGAATTGTATTATCATTCTTTCCATCATTAAGGTTACAGTGCTGCGAACTATTGTTTCTTCACAAATTATGACAGCAATTTTTTTCAGTTTTTCATTTCTTTCTAGGGCTCTCACTGCTTTGCACTTACAGTTGTGGGTCTCGATCTCTGTGAATCAGACCATCTTGCTTGGAAAGAAAAACATCAATTTCATCCTCTTTGATGCTATTGGATGATGCCAAGGTTGCTAGGTTTGCAGAAGATGTCAAAGGAACAGAATTTACTCCTGACATATCATTATCAACTGGTGAAGCTTCACGAGACAAGAAAAGCATATCTCCATGCCTAAAAGAAAGCACAACAAATGCCACACATTGATTTTTAATTAGCTGATTAGCTAGGATATCTTCCTAATTACACAGGACAACAAAGTAGAGCAAAATTTCTCCATGTGATTTGGAGCATATCTGTTTGTGGTATCCAAGACATTCATCTCCTGTACTGTCTTTTCCTTTATGAGCTCCATAGATTAGCAATTCTTCAAACTTCAGGTTACAAACCTGCATCAAAATTATCAACACAATACATTGGGTCCTGACCCTTTACACCCTAACATCAGTAAAGCTAGTCTCCATACTGTTCCCTATATATTCCCTAAGGTGCTGACAAGGAGAATTTGTGTAAAAATCAACAGCTTCTTTTGCTGCTAATAACTTTCTTTATTCTCATGACCTTACCGCATGATTTAGGGGTGATATTGTAAGGAGAAATAGGATGCTAGTTACTCCTAAGGGTCAACGCAAGGGCATAACCATCAGGGATTGCAATGTGTACAATTTGACAGCCCTTGTTTGAGCTCTTGGTTCATTATGTTCAACTTGCCATCAGCATCACTTTTTTTTAACAGTCTTAAGTGGAAAGGGGCATTTCTTAATATTCTAATTTCAAATTCTAAGAAGACATTAGATGCCACTCACTCTTAAGGGTTAAAAGATTAATCTTTCATATAAACATAATATGATAGTATTTGATTGGTTGAAAGATGTTCCATTACACAATTTTAACTTCTAATCATATCCAATCAAACACTAAAGTAATATGTAGGACTGACATACCTTATTCCAAGTGAAGCTAAAGTTTTTCTTGTAGAGTTCTTTATTTCTCCAGTTTTGTTTCTATTTAGAAATAGTGTCCATCCTCTTCTTGGAAGGGAAAGCTCCTCTACAATCTAAAATATACAAAATCATGAACATTAAGTATCGAAATAATATAAACCTCCCTTACCATCACAATAAATTCTCTCAAACTCAAATTTAATCAAAATAAACTGAAAGTTAAGAAATGTTGTCTGAATCATAAAAAGAATTCTAAGAAAATGCTCAAAAATAAGTCACTAGTCACTGTGAGAACAGATTTTCTGATCTTGGAAGGGAAAGAGTTAAAATGTACTGAATGGCCACGACTGCCGAGCAAAGTATGAGAAAATGTATCTGCCAGCAAAAGGACAAGGCAACATTTTGTACAAAGTACATATTATGTAAAATGTTACTGATGGTGCGTCATCATCCTCCCACTATAGCTATGAAATCGAAAGACCCACAAGATAACGAAACTGTCAAACAGCATTTTAACAGCAGATTTCCAAGAACATGTTTTAACTAAGTAAAATAAGAATTATTCGATCAGTAACCCCTTTCAACTTAACGAGACCGGCCGGCCTCATACAAATAAACTTTTCTACCATAATTTAAGCTCAGATAGATTGACTGAGTATACATCAAGTTTGAAAAGTACATAGAAATCCAGACGTCGGGCACTTGAAATTAAATGATAAGCTCACAATAGGCTATCCTCAAATTTCAAGTTAAATAAATCTTACCTTAGTTAAGAATGACGAGATAGTTTCGGTTTGCGAACATTTTATCCTTGAAGTCCCTTCGCGGGATTGCACGCGTACAATCTAAAGAAAAAGAAACGAAACGAAGGCTTAATATTTCCTACCCATTTATCAGGGAGATTCCTGACTTCAGAATGACCAGTAACTTACAATTTGAGCCATGCTGTTATCTCAAGGAAGTGGATTTACTCTTAAAATTCTCTCTCATTTAATAATACTTTCCCTCGCCATGGCGTAATTGTAACCGAGTGATGTAATTTAACGTGAGAGGCTGGGTAATGAAGTGAGGAGGAACTGGGGCGAGATGTTGCCGCTAAAACCGCCATTTTTCAAAAAGTGTAAAACTTTTGAGAGTGTACCATTGTGAATCATGGCTGAGTTAACTTATGATTTTAACATGAATAGATTCAAAAATCGCCTGGAGACCTTCAAAGACTGGCCCTTTACGGAAGAAACGGGATCTTGTTGTACTGCGATGAAGGTAAGGAGGTCACTGCAGAAAACAAACCTTTACGTCAGTAAACTCATTAATTACTTCGTTTGTACTGTTCTCAGATGGCTGAAGCAGGCTTCTTCCACAGCGCGAATGATTCTGTTGATGTTGCACGTTGCTTTGTTTGTCTCAAAGAACTCGAAGGATGGGAGCCTGAGGACAATCCATTGTACGTAAGCTCGACTATAATTTGAATATCAGACATGCATATCAGGCAGCTTACATGTTCAGTTGTTGGTTATCGGCTAAAGGATGAGGTTAATTTATTATCATAACGAGTTTTAATTTTGTAAACGAAGTTGAAAGGATAATTGTTGTGTCACTTAAAGACCAAAAATATACAGTTCCTTAAAAATTATTTTAATTTGAAATTAAGGTACTGAAATTCTGAAACGCGTTTCACATGTTAAGCTTAGTTCATTTGTATTTTCATCATTTTCTCATTGATAATCATGCTCCTAATTATTTGACAGCCGAAGTTAAGATTTCTTTCTGTATATTACTTCCCTTTTTGAAAAACAATGATTTCCATTCCAGTGAGGAACACAGAAAGCATTCTCCGAAATGTGAATTTTTGTTGTTGAACAAAAAAGAAGAAGACTGGACAGTGCAAGAATTTTTAGAATTGGAAACAAAAAGGCAAATGAACGTAATGGTAATTATTTGAAAAAAATTTTCATCTTAATATATTTTTCTTACTTAATTTGCAATTTGTTGATAGATGTATGTAAGATCTCTAAATATGAGGTGGTCCCTCACCAAATTAATTTAGTAAGTATTCATCTTCTGGCTAACAGAGTCTTGATTTTGGATAATTTGGTTTTATTAACTAAGTTGTAAAATTGGCCATCATATGGAGATTCTAAAGCTGATTTTTCAAGATTTAACACTTCCTCCCTCACTCTGACATAGGGCTGACTTTTAAAATGTCAGCTGTAGAAACAGCTTATGATGGCCTATTTACATTCTCAACTCAGTTGATTGAATCAATTTATCCAGTAAAAACCCCACTGACACTGTGTCACAGTTTCTTCTGAAACTTACCCTAACCCCCTTTATTGATTTTGTAGTTTCTAATCTTTCATAACACTGAGAAGATCTATCAAAGGTGTTGTAGAACAGGGTTTATACACCCAAGGATTCTAGATGCATAATACACAGAGCTTAAACCAACAGTTGGAGTTTTGATCTTTCGTCAGAGAACCTCAATAATAATATTATGTTATTAAAAAAAAGCCAATAATGCCTATCAATAATAACAGAGTTATAATTCTCATTTTGAAAGGTGCACATTTATACATATGAATCGCAAATGCTGTGCAAGTGGGTGAAATGAAGACCTGTTCCTCAATTGTACATGTATACCAGGAAAAGCTTTTAAATTTAACTTTTCCTTATTAACTTTACAGCAAAAGATCATTGAACTCAAGACAAAAGAATTCTTGGAACTGGCTGAACATGTCCAAAGTGAAATGGAAAAGCTTGTTTAATCTTATGATATTAACCTGACTGTTTAGTATCACTGTGGATTGATAGAGTGTATCTTAGAGGCCTCCTTTGCAGATGATCTCTTGGGTCACCTTATGAGTTATGAATGACTCACTGAAACATTGTTTGCAAAATATTTGCTGGATTCAAGAGACACTTCATAGCCTTTTGGATGGGTGGTGTGACAAGTTAAGAGAATCTCTGTGTCAGGAGCTAATATTATATTTGATAAGCAAGAAATTGTTGCCTTGCATTCTATTCTCCAAACATTGTTCATAATTTTAAACTACAATTACACATGTATGGTCAGTTTGTAGCTTAATGTGATAAAGTTTGAACTTTTCATCATTGCAATATGAATTACTTTCTTACTCCCTCAGGTATTTTAGTCTTTTTTTCAAATAACTGACTTTCAGAGTTTAGTTCAGTAGAGTGACATGTCTTTGTGCTTTGCTTATTTAGGTTTAGCTTGAACAATTTCTTTAGGTTGTTGAATGGACTGGAAAAATTCACTTTTCCACTCTTCAGCTTGCTTTTCTCCTGAGTTGTAAATAATATAGTTATCTATATAATGTAGCATGTTCACTATTAAAGAAGACAACATTGACTGAAAAGGTGTGAATGTTAACCTTCAACTTTTTCTAATCTCAGGGAGGATTTTTTTTTATCTGGATGAGTTGCTTCTTCATCGCAGGTTACTTCAATCCCCAACCGCACCCCCATTGCCTTCCCTTAATCTCAATCATATCACTGGAAATGGTGTAAGGCACAGGAGCATAATGCAGAGTTAAGTGTGATGTGATGCCCACTCTGCTCTCCTACTAAGAGTTATTTCAGATGACTGATGAAGAGTCAGAGGCTTTGCAGGCGTTTTCATTAGGATCTTGTGGTTTGGGTATTCATAAACAGGTATCTTAATCAGGGGGAAGATTGTTGGAAGATCAACTCTGCTACAATGTTTACAACCCTAATAAAAGTATGTTTCATGTTATTTTTAGCACTGATTGAGATCCAGTTGAGGGGTCTTGGGGAATCCCCCCCTCCCTGTCCAATCAGACCTTTGGGTTTTTCACCAGTTTTCTGAGAAGAAAAAAAACAAAAAGATGGTGAATTACTTCTCAATATGAAGCATTCAAAATGTACTTGTCTCGATATCTTTCTCTGCTAATTTATTGAGCTATGTGGCTATAACAAAAATTATTTGTTTCCTGGACCCACTATCAAATATTCCCAGAAAATAGGTTTTCTACTCGTAAGCTGCGGGAAATCAAGTTGATGTTAAGATCAATGAATAAAGGGGTAAGTTTCTAAAGAAACTGGTGCTGCGTCGGTGGGAGAGTATAGCAGGTAATTTAGTGTTAACAACTGGGTTGAAAACGTAAATTGGCCACCCTAAAGGGTAAAAAAGCTGACGTTTCGAGCGTTAGCCCTTCGTCAGAGCGATTGACGAAGGGCTAACGCTCGAAACGTCAGCTTTTTTACCCTTTACGGTGGCCAATTATCGTTTTCAACCCAGTTGTTAACACTAAATTACCTGATGTTATGATCAGTTCAACCCCGGAGATCTATTTCAAGCTTGCGCGTGCGTCAGACAGACGGGAAAGGAAGATTACTCGACTAGCTCTCTGGGATAGTCTGTCAGGGATATTTCCCAGACTCCCTTGAGGTCGGGCGGGAAGATGGCGTAAATATGGCTGATTGTTCTGTCTGGGTCGGTGGATTTCCTGTGAATGTGAACGAAAATGTGCTGTACGACTTATTTCAAAAATTTGGCCCTTTAAAAAATACAGTGATACTTAGGGATGTTTCTGGTAGGTCTAAACAGTGTGGTTTCGTCAATTTCTTATCGCAAGAGGTCGCCGAACTTGCAGCCAGAAAGATGAATGGATTTGAGATTTTGGGCGAGACGGTTAAAACGAAAGGGCCCAGGGAACTTTTAGCGACGAGAAGATGTACAGATACTGTTTCTGAAGAAGCTCTAAATTTAGATAAAAAGGACTTCAGAGGTCTGACCGACTGCGTATTCTTCATGGAAGGCCGTCGGTGTTCTCCGAAATCAGGAGAGGTGAGACCTGCCAAATTTTCCAGCAAGTTTACCGGTAAACATAATCTGACCCAAATTACATAAACGTCAAATCAAAATAATTTTTCCTTTTAACGTATTTCCTTTGATTTTTATTTCGCACTCACATTAATTGTTGATGATGTTATTGGATTTTTAGATTTAATTACGTAGAATGTTACTTTCGCTATTCAGTGTCCCTTCCGTCATTGTACTGCGGCCCGGAAAACTGACGTTTTGTGCGACAAGTGGACGCAAAAACAGTGTACAGAAGTGTTTTGCTCGAAACGACATCCTAAACTCATCAAAAAACAATCAGGTATGATGGAGAGGTCGTATTCTCTCTTTGTATGGGTTGATAGTGTAAAGTAGAGGTTACGGTAACCACACTATCATTTATATTATGCAACACAACAGAGTCACACAACCACGTCACGTTGTGCGCCGGTAGATTACCAAAGTGTGTGTCAGAAAGTCAAATTAGGGGAGAGTGAATACAACCTAAGTTATAAAATGGAGATGATAAGAAGGCTGGTAATTGCTATTTGGAAGAACCTTGAAATGTCTCTTTATCACAGAAATACAAAAATTGGATTTCTGTAGCTCTCCTTAAAAGCCAAGCTGCTAAAGATTTGGTACGAGACTATCCAAGCACCTTGTAATTGTATATATATGTAGTGATAGATGTACAGATTGAGGCTCTTATTGGCTTCAACCGAACTTGATGATTGATTGATGGATTTTTCATAACTGCTAATTTGTTAATAGATCACTTATTTAAAGTAGTACCAGCCCGCTGTCCATCCCATAATGCATTTAAATGTACTGGTGAATGTGGCTTTGATGAATGTAACACTCACTTCATGGAACAAGAAGCTTTACAAGAACACATCAATAGAGGACGTGAAAAAAAGTTTTCGCTGATGTCATCTTGCTCCCAGGTACTAACAACATTTCAAGAACAAAATGCAATATTTTGGAGGAATCCTTTTTGTTCGTTCCTTTGTAATATGGCTGCTTTGATTGGTGAATTTGTATTTACAGATTTTGACTTGAAGCTTAACTCTCTTTGTTTGTTGTCTTGTGTTTCAGTGCAAGGCCATTTTCTTTAGTGAACAAGAAAGGCAACAACATTCCTGCCTAAATGCCACAACAGAGCCCTTATCTGGTCACCATGTACATAGATATCCTTCCTCCAATTTGAATTTTCACCAGTCTTCAAGTTTTCAATTTAAGAGGAACAGCCCAGTAATGTTTACAAACGCTTCACCACAGAATCTCATCAAACCTGAACACTTGTGTAAGAATCCTAGCACATCAATACCAAGTGGTCATGCAGCTTGTGCAAAAAAATTTTGCGATTGTTCCAGAAGTCATGCAACTGTTGGGTTAACCAACCAAGTTAAAGGACCATTTTGTGTTTGTTCTTCTTGTGGGATAAGCTATGAAAACTCTGGTGATTCCTTGAGTGATTTTGATTTGTCTGTTGATTCGGCTGGTATTGGTGGCCACAAATGTCCTAATTCACCATCTGTTCGAGGACTCCTCAATGATGCAGACTGTGAGTAAAATTTATTCAATTCCATGTGTTGTCCTATTTAGCTGTGATTTTTTACATTGATTTAAGTATTTTTGACTGGTTGAATCCAACTAATGAATGACCTCTTGTGCAAAAGTTTTATAATGAGTGATGAATTATAATTTCTTTTTAATCTTTAAATTTATTGTTTATTTTACATGTATTTAGTAGTAACTTATATTGAATTGTTAGTTTTAAATTGTTACTGCTTGGCTGACACATTTTCATGCTTGTTTCCACTAAATTTTATATTTTTTGATGATTACTTGGGAAGTATGTGAGTACTCACCAGCTTATTGATATTGTTAGCCTCCAAAGGAATAATCACATGCTGCTGATGTATTAAATGAGTACAGATTAAAGTTAAAGGAAACAAGGTTTCCTGTTTCCAATATTTAAAGGCTGGTTCTTTGGAGATCCTGTAATAAAAAGGCAATAAGAGAAGCTGGAAGAATTAATTGTGTTTCTTGCTCAAAAAAGTTATTTCAATCTTGATGTGTTCTACATTGTAGCTTTGGCATTCAAGAACTCTGTAACTGGTTCTCCTAGTCAAGCCCCTATGGTTCCAGAAGCTGAGCCTATTGGAGTTTTCTGGGATATTGAAAATTGCCCAGTTCCTCGTGGCAAATCAGCGTCTGCTGTTGTTCAGAAGATAAGGAAGGAATTTTTCACTGGAAAGCGTGAGGTTGAGTTCATGTGTGTTTGTGATATCAGTAAGGAAAAGAAGGAAATAATTGAAGAACTTAACAAGGCTCAGGTAAGATTTTCGGTTCTGAAAATTTTTATCTTTGTTGCATTTTCTCTATTTAACACAATTACTGAGTGAATTGTAAGCGCTTCAAGAGAAGTCTGACATCAGGTCCTATATGCATGTGTGTGGGGACCCTATGCCTTTAATTAACAAATCCTGATGACCAGTTACAAGCCCTATGTCCAACAAAGAAGAAACACAGGGAAACAAGGGAAGGCAAAGGGGGGAAACTGATCGTGAAATAATTGTTTGTGCAAAAGATAACTCAATATAAAACCAGTAAATTGAAGATTGAAGTGTCCACTTGCAGGCAGATAATTATCAAATAGGCCATTTTCGAATTACCTTTGGCCTCTTTTTAAAAACAAGGCCTGGTGCTCAGCCCTTCTTTTGAGAATTAATTTAATTTGTGTGTGAATGGAAATTTATAATCATAAGAAAGGATGAGAACCAGGACTTTCTTTGAAAAAGCGGCCAAAGTAATTCAGAAGTGAAGTCTTTACTAATAATATGATGAGACACACACCTCTGATATGCTACTTGACTTTGTTATCTTTTGAATTTCATCAAAAAATTTTAGTACGTGCCTGAAATAGTATATTAAGTACATGCAGTATCTCTTCTGCTGCAACAGCAAAATCTTTTCCCCTGTAATTTGATGTATATTTGTGTCGCAGGGTTTTATTTTGCTGAATTGAAAATTTGGCAAAGGTATTCTGGCTAAAATAGATGTTTGTGATTATATCCTCACTTTTGGTTGGGATGTATTCGGTCAGGAGACCTACATAAACAAATCAGGTGTTAGTTGAAGGATTATAATGAACAATATTAAGTACAGCAAGGATTTTGTGCAATGATCAGTGTATCATACATTTACATGTGTTTTGTTCCATTAGTATACAAAATTTTGTGGAACATATTCTTCTACTAACCTAAAATTAGAGTTCAAATAGTGTCTTTTCTAAAACTTCAAACCCTTTTTTCTGACCTCTTTATACATTTAGGTTACTGTTGTTCACATCAATGCCACTTCAAAGAATGCAGCTGATGACAAGTTAAGACAAAGCTTGAGAAGATTTCCACAATCATACCCTCCCCCTGCCACTGTTATTTTGGTGTCTGGGGACATCAATTTTGCCGCAGAGCTGTCAGATTTACGTCATCGGCACAACCTCCATGTGATTTGTCTTCACAATGCTCAAGCACAGGATGCTTTGCTGGAATGTGCTCATGAGGCAAGAAGATTTGATCACTTCACTGCTGATCTTCCTGTTGTATTCCCTCCAAAGGTAAACAAATTTTTCTTTTCACTTCTGATGCCAGTTTTTCACTTTGAGTACTTTGAAAACTTTGAGTTCAATAATTATCTGGAAGCAGAAATGAATTATACTACAGTACTTATTCATGTGGGAGATACTGTGCCCTCCTGGTTAGTGCAGTGGACTCCAAGTCAAGATGTGGCCAGGTCAATGTGTTGTGTTATCGGGCAACACAGTTAATCCTTAAACTTTCAGGAGTGACCAAGGTAGAATTTCTCCTTAAAATATCAGTACAAAATATCAACCAGATAAGTGAAGAGAATTAAGAAAAATATTAATTTGGGGATAATTATTTGATCCAATACTAAATTCTCTGAACTAGCATCATAAGAACTGCATAGTTTACAGTAAGGAGAATTACAAATTTGATCTGAGAGTTGAAGGGTTAAGTCTCACTGTGTCTCTTTCTGCCTGGGAGTATAAGTGGGTACTGGTGAAATGTCAGGAAAGCCTGATGAAATGTTGGAGGAGTAGTGTGATACAGACTTTTATTACCTTTTGACTGCTTACATGTAACCCTTTTGCTGCTTTTTGTACCATACATGTAGCTTAATATTGAGTGGATCCTCAACCACTTAAACTCTGTGTAAAAGGAAACCAAAAACATTTTGAGATATGTGTAGCAGTGGGAGACTTGACTACAATTCAGCTTCATTGTGCCAGTGAATGACTAAACAAATGTGTTACTTAGAAGGGAAATGGCCTAAAGTTAAGATTTAGAAGGTCTACACTTTAGCACATTAGTTAATTATTTGTACATTGCTCAGTTTGATAAGACAAAACTTCAATTTATTGTTTGAAAATTTTTTAGGCTCCTGAGGAGAATGGCTTATCCTCAGAGCTTCTTGTCCTCAATCTTCCAATGGGAAAAGATGTTGCTCAAGTCAGGAACAGACTTAAAAAACTTTCTGATAATTGTGGAGGGAAAGTTGTAAGCATCTCTGGGCACACCTCAGTTCTGAGATTTCCAAATCCTGCCAGTGCTGCAAGGTAAGAAAGTGTATGTTACTGTCACAGTGAATTTATTGCTTAAAATTGTAAATTACAACATAGATCATGTTGAGGTTTGTGACATTAATGCAGTTTCAGCTCCAGATACAGGAACAAAGAAACATTTAGTATACCCAAGATCTAATTCACCTCACTAACTGTTTCCTTATTCCAGTTTTTCAAATTCATAAAACTGGTATTTGCATGAGGAAATTGTTATCACCTACATGTATTTGCATTATAGTTAATGTGAATTTTGTTTTCTCTCAGGGCCAGGCGAAGAATGGACAAAGAAGATGTGTTTGGTTCCAAAATCCAAGTGGTATATTCCACAAGTAGTCATCATTCATATAGCCCCCAGAAAAATAAGAAAACACAGCCAATGGAGGCTACTGGTGATTCTGTCAAGGGCAGAGATACTAGTATGTCTCCAAAGTCTATACCCAGCACCTTACAGAAAGGAAAAGAAGATTCCAGGTGTGCTTTGCTAGATACTTTTGGCACTGAAGACACAATCCCATCCAGGAATACTACAAAGAAAGAGAGCAATCCCAGCCGAACGCCTACAGATGAAAGTCTGGACTCAGGGGACAGCACAGAAGAAAATGATGCCAAACCAGGACCTTCCCTTTCATCTTCTACAGCCCCTCAGTTTATCAGCCATCAGGCAATGTTCAGTAATGGTTCCTACACCGGTATATGGCCACACTCTATTTACCCAAACTTCATGAATATTCCAACACAAGGGACAAGTTTTCCAGGAATCACTCCTCTTGCCTCATCCATGATGGGGGCACCACAACTTGCAGCATCGTGGCTGGCCAGCTTGCATAACTTTACCGTGTTAGACCAGCAGCGGGGTGGAATAGACTTACTCGTCACTAATTTGGATGAAAATGTTAGCAAGAAAGAACTGAAAAAGAAGTTGGCATCTGTGTTTCGAGAGCACTGTAAGGTGGGATGATTTGCATTATGAAGAGCATTTTGTATGCTTTTACACTCAGTAAAACTGTGCATGGATACGATAACATATTACAACATTCAGAATTAAATATGCTGTTAGGTTTTCAACTTGCATGTGATGTTTATCAAAAAAGCTGTCTAGTTAGTGTACATCGACAGCCTTTCGTGTGTTGCAGATTTACAATATTCTTTGTTTCTGCTTGCAGGTATTGTCTGTTATTCTTCATAGTGGAGAAGGCATACCTTTGAGAGCTTTTGTTAAAGTTCCAAAACTGTCGGACGCACACCTGGCCATCTGCAAAGTTCATCAGAAGAAAATTTTTAACACCTGCGTGGCTGTCAACATAGCCACAGACAAAGAGAAAGAACTGTGCTTCTTGCGCTGTGAAGTAACTTCTATACTGAAAGAGGCGCCTTTACACTTCCTACCTTTAAACAAATTCCTGAGTGATTACTATGAGAAGTGTTCCCGAGCGTTTGATATGACTTCCATAGGAGTTATCCACGACCTGGTTGTTTTGACTGGCAAACCTGGTAATCAAGCGATAAGTCTGGTTACTCGGGCCATTGGCGGCGTGAGAGTGTCTGTAGAACCTGACCAGTTTGCAAACGATGTCCACACTCTTCTTAAATCCAGTGAAGGATCGTTGCCTTTGGTTAGCTTTGCTGCATCCTATTGGTTAAACTTTGATAGGAAGATAGAGTCTAACGATGAGGGTTCTGCACTTATGGAAGTTCTCAACTGCGTTCCAAATGTCAAGGTCACAGAGTCTTTGATGGTGTCATGGGCTAAACAAGCTCTCAAACATGGTATGGAGTGTTGTTATTATTTATTTTTTTTTTAGGTTTGGTTTGTTTATTTGTTTGTTTTTCTTGTGTTTTCTTTTTGAGCGTTTTTTTTTTCACCTCAGAATTTTTCATAGGTGTTTTCATGTGCTAATAAAGCTCTCTGGCTTAAATGGCGAAATGTTTTTTCCATGGTCTAGATTTGCAAGGCGTGTTTATACATTCGCTTGCAAGTATTTTCATGTACGGAACATGTATTTTACTGTATTGTGAGTGTGTGTGTTTTTTGTTTGTCATCTGTAGTACTCACATATTCAAGCCCTTCTGTCTCTTTTTACCCTAAAGTTAGCTCTTTCAACTTGAAAACGTCGCCCAAATTTAATTTTTTTTGCATCATCCACCTACATTTTAAATACACTTATATCTATGACATCAAATGGTGTAGCATACAGAAGCTTGATGTTTTTTTTTTCTTTTTTTTTTTTCACTAACAGGCGGGAATGTAAGCAAGCTTCTTGAATTCAGTAAAGATCTGCAGGAGTTATTACTGATGCAGGTGGAATTCAAACTCCCTCTCAGCTCGCTTATCTCAGAGTATCAATCGTGGTTTGACAAGAAGACGCCATTTGATCCAGCTGTCTATGGGTTCACTTCGGTTGTTACTCTCCTGGAAGCGTTGCCAGCTGTGGCGGAGGTCAGTAAATTTGTGCTGTACAGTGACCCTTTGACTCCTAAGAGTGATTAGCATTTAATTTCTCCTTACATTATCATTCCTAAATCACAAAGTAAGGTCACGAGAAGAAAGGCAATGTTTACCAACTAAAGAAGCTCTTGATTGTTAAACAAATTCTCCTTGTTCGGCATCCTGTTGAGAATGTATAGAGAACAGTTTGGAGAGTATGTATACTCATATTTAGGGTTTAAAGGGTTGACTAGGTGTGAGACTCTGTAGTGAATATGATGCAGGCGAGGAAATATGTTATTGGTCTTGTCATGAGCGTAAAACAAAGGAGAAATCTGAATTCCGCTAGGGGAGTCGAACTTGAGACCTTTGGATTTGACACTCCGATGCTTTACCTCGATTTCTTTCATACAAGAGTTCCCATTCAAACCCTCACAGCCCTTCAGATCTCTGACAGTAGTTTGTATAAAACCTCAAAAAGTAATACGAGATGAAATGAAAAACTATCGAGATCGCATTCGTGGATTTATTCAGAAGAAGTTCTTCCAGATTGACGAACAAATTCTTAAACTTGATAATCTGGTTTTATCAACTGAGTCGATGATGTAGAATAACCACCATACAGAGTTCTGAAGCTGACGTTTCGAGCGTTGGTCCTTCGTCATTCGCTCTGACTAAGGGTTAACGCTCAAAATGTACCTCTAGAAACTCTTTACGGTGGCCAGTCTACATTATCAACTTAGTTAATAAAACCAAATTATCTAGTTACTCTCCCCTACCGACGCAGCACCATGGTTTCTTTAGAAACTTACTCCCTTAATTCTTAAACTGTTTGATTCCAAGAATGAGAAATAAAGAATTTAAAACTAGACCAGTCAAGACCTATTGCTCCGACGAAGGGCTAACGCTCGAAACGTCCGCTTTTAAACCCTTTACGGTGGCCAATTTACGTTATCAACTCAGGTAATAATACTTAATTACTCTCAAATAAAATATATTTAAGTTCACATGGCAACCAGGTGGACAATCAGACATGGTTTGATGTTACTTTGATTTACAGATTTAATGAATGTAGCCGAAGAAGTTACAATTTATAGACCCAAATGTAACTTCTTCGGTTACAATCATTAAATCTGTAAACCAGAGTAGCATCAAAACATGACTTAATTACTCTGTTAGACCAATCAGCTTTCACGAAACAGATCTTACTCATCACGCGACTCCAATGATGACTTGCGATCGCTTGTTGAGAGATCTGTGACTGTCATCAACATTAGATCCTAGGACTACCCTCACCCAGATGGGTCAACTTTTGCTAATGAGTTCAAGCCATATTAGGTTGTCATTCTATATCATTTCAACTCTTCTACTTTTTTACGCGCTTCAGATTACGCAACAAGGCAAAGAAAGATGGCTTGTCCTTTCACAGCGCTTGAAAATCAAAGCCTTTGCAAAAAATGTCAAAATGCTCTTGGAAAGTCAACCGGATGGCGTAATTGCTTTGGGAAACTTTGTATCAACTTACATGAAATTCTTCGGCCAGAAATGCAAGATTGCAACATTTGGTTTCTCCAAGCTGACAGACTTGATTGAAGCTGTGCCCAATGTCGCTAAGGTTTGTTAGCAGCTTTTTGGATATCCTTATGCAGTCATGGTGGAGTTTTGAAATCACTTGTTTGTTTGGAGTCTCAGTCAGTGATGGTCACTGTTGAACGAACAGATCCTTTGTTATAGTGCATTTGTTCACTAATGGATACATGTAAGTTATCATATCGATTTGTGATTGTGGATGCGTCTCTCATGTTCTTACCACAGTTCGAAATCCAGATCCGCAAATTTTCGGGATAACAGACCTGAATTCAACTCAATTAAACACGTAATTTTTTTAATTTGTCTATTAGATCCAAGGAACTGGAGATCAGCGATTGATTTGTTTAGTGGAAAAAGGTATATGCCTTTATTTTAGACTGAATATTCTTCCTTGATTTGTTTCGTAAGTTAGTAAGAGTTCATATACTTAAACTTGTTTGAAAGTCATTACCACAACAAATGTTTCTCTCCATTGAATTTGTGTTTTTTTGTCACTTCATTTGGACATTCCTTTTTACAGACAAGAGCTCGAAACCTGAGAAGCGGAGCGATAAGCAAACTCTGGTCAAAGAACTCAAAGAATTATTGTCCAGCTGTGAAAATCAGAGGCTTCCTGTTGCCACAGTTCTTGCTCGATATTATCAACATTTTGGCCGACTGCTCAAAATTGGAGATTATGGTGCGCTGCGTCTTGAAGACTTTGTGGAGAGTTCACCATCACTACAGGTCAGTGTTTGTACCTATTTATTTACTGTTGGTGTGAAGCTCTCGGCCTTAAGTTACATTGACCTTCTCCATGGTTTCTCTTAGATCATAGAGATATCTGGGGAAAAATACCTGACCCTCCCTCCCAAAGTCACAGTACAGTCTTTGCGAAGAGATTTGGTAGAGCTGCTGGGACAACAGGATGGCAAATTTCTGCCGATTTCTCGCCTTGCTTCCACTTTCCGTAAACATTACAGCCGGAAATTTCCCCTGGGACAAGCCAAACTTGAGGAATTTCTTCGAAGTTTGGAGGGAGTAGTAAAGGTTTGTATGGATTGACATAGAAACAGAAAATAAAGTTGTCTTTTAAACTGCGTTTGCCAAGGATCTAAATTGCAGTTCTCATAAATTTGTTTTTGAAAAGAACTTGGTGTTAAATCAATATTTCTCCTTCTTGCTATCAATTTTGTTCCTTCTTAACTGGATGGTGTATTTTAAATTGCATTTTTAGCGGTAATAATTTTCTAATGCACCTGTGGAAAATATTTGTTTCTCTAACTTCACTGGAGGGTAATCAATCAGAAAAGGAGATGTTAAATAGATGATGATGATTGATCTCTATAACAAATCGATTACAAGACTTGAGTCGCGTGTCATTGGTGATATCGATAATCATAAGTAATCGGTTTTATTGATATCAAGTGGTATTTCTATTAAGATGATTCAAATTGTCGGAAATGAGACTAAAGAATCTGCTATGTTCCGAAACTTCACGTTTTAT